CAACCTTGAGCCTGGTGAGATTTGAACTGCCAAATTGCAGGCAGCCAACAGGTAGCAGAAGTAGCCTGCAGTACTGCACTCTAACCACTGCACCACTATGGCTTATGATATGTGTAGTTACAACCCAGGGATTTCTTTTGAAGGATTCAGTCAGAGAAAAATATAGCGCATTTAATATATGTTTATATGTATTTTTCTGAAAATGACTCAGTTTGTTAGCCTAGCAACTTATTTCTAAGCACCTGTTATATTTTTTAGTAAATAAGTATTTCTTGTACTTGTTTCTTTCTTATTGAATAAGTTACTTTTTTCAGTCTCACAGCTTTGCACTTGTAATATACCATGAAAATAATTTTCAGAAAATATCCAAGATACCATATAAACTTATGCTATGTATATATAGGCCAAATAATTGAAATCCACATAAGTTTTTCTCTGTTTTCTTTCTAAAAATCATTTCAGTGTTCTTTAAAGGTTAAAACACAATTTTTCTAAAGCCTCTTATTTGTTATGTAGAAAATGAAAGGTTGTGCATAATTTTTATCCCTTTGTTTTATGTACCAATTGCAGTATCATAATGCTTCCATAGACTTCATTTTAGAAACTTTGACTAAAGAGCTGAACTAGAAGTCTGCTACCTGTTGGCGCTATGCGCGCATGCGTGCCGTTCGCCCAAAATGGTAGTAAAAAATGCTACCAGTTTGGGCAAACCAGTAATTAATTGTGCAGCACAGCTGATCATTGCACAGCTGATCGTCGGAGCTACTGGTTTGGGTAAACCAGTAGCATTTTTTTTACTACTGGTTTGGGCGAACTGGTAGCATTTCACCCCTGAGCTGAACACTAAAGATAATCGTTGCAATTTACAGCAGTGAACACCTGACTTCGGTCTAATGACTTTTTAGAGAAGAGAAAAACAAAAGTGGTTCTATAACTTTCTGTTATAAGTCACAGCTATATGACAGAAACTCAGTAAGTTTCAAAGAGCTCTGGTGTACTGTATTTTCAAACATTTAATCCCCCAAGTGTTATTATGAATGTCTGTGTTAATAAGATTTCTTTTCTGTTTTCAAGACATGGGTGAAAAATTAAATGTTCCTATGTATATAACTTCTACTGCCCAAATGCATAATAAGAAAACAGCATTTTATTTTTCGAAGATTACTGTAAAAATTAAGTAAAAATAAAATCTTTTTAAAATAATGTGGTTTTACTTTGCTTTGGGTCAAAACAGCTGAGAACCTGGTAAAATATTTTATTTATTTTTGAAACTACAAAAGAAGAATATTCCTAAAATAGTATATGAAATAGAACAAACACTGTTGCATATAACATTCTACTTTAGGAGTTAATTTAAAAGCTCTCTGATGAGATTAGTATCTATCTGATGTAAATTTATCAATTAAAATTTAAGCTTAGTCATGCTGAAATTTTCTTTAACAAATTTCCATCTAAAGCCTAGGATTTGATATTGTTGTAACACTTAATACAATTCAGCAGTCCATCAATATTCAAAGCAGCCATCTTGAAAAAAGCAGACAATAAGTTAAGATAAAAGTAAAATAAAATTAGTCATAGTTGTTGGGATTTAAAGAAGACTCAAAATTTAATTCATATGTTTCTCTTTTTTTAAAGGTAATCAAATGGATAATACTATGAAAGATATTACAGATGAATTCAGTCTGCGAGATACAATAAGCATTGGATCAACAGATTCATTTGTTTCAGCTGCTGAGGTATACTGAATAAGCTGTCTTACTGTGTTAATTATTATGCACTTGAGGTACTCAATGATGGTCTTTAATTAAATCTCCTAGAACAAAATGTCTTGACAAATGTATACAGATTCACAGATATATAAAGATTAAATGTAATTCTATGACATTTAGACATTACAAATACACATAACAATTTCTTTTCCATTCAGACTGCCTGGGCAACTACCTGCAGTTGCCTTGGCAAGATTTTTTTCAGAATTTGTTTGCCATTGCCTCCTTCCTAAGGCTGAGACAGCTGTGAAAGTGACTGGCTCAAGGTCATCCAGCTGGTTTTATACCTAAGGTGGGACTAGAACTCATGGTCTCATCATGCCTTCTACCCTGATGCTGTAAGCAACACTCAAACTGGTTCATAACAATTATGAATACATAACATAAAACATAACAGTTAAGAACACATACAATGAAATATTCACAGATGCATGACTAGAATGCTTCTTCACATGCTTTCCATGTAGAAAAGCATATGTCTGTGACTACAGTGGCAGAATATGAAAATTTCCATAAATTCATGAGAAAGATGCCTAATGAATTCTAGTGGTCATTTTTTTCAATAAAAACATTGCAAGAAAAATGATGGTTTTGAAGTTCTCTGATGGTCATGTTTTTGGAATTGTAATGTTCATTTCCCAGAAAAACACATTTAATCTGGAACATATGTAAATTAGATTTCATTTTGTCATTTATTTTTCAATTTAACAGCAATTTCAAGGTTACTAGATTATTGAGAAAGGTGACTTTAAAGGACAGTGTTAATTACAGTATTAATTGCTCATCTTAGGCCAATTATATTGTTCCATAAACATTGGTTAAAATCCTGTTTGTAGAAGTAAGTCAAATACATATTATTGTACTTTTAATGTCAAAAAATTAATATTCTCCCCGTTAAAGTGACTTGTAAACTACTAGCTACTGGAGAATAATACCATCTAACCCAGGTAAGTAGGTCTCCATATTGAGCAGATACAATATTATATGAAAGCTCTGCGTTGGATGGCAATGAGCTATTAAAGCTGGGTCCAGGAAGTTATTCTTCATTTATAAATCTAGCCCTAAACCAGGTTATCTGGGAAACTGCTCTCTTCTATAGGACCACCTATTTATTATGTTCTTCAAATGTTGTTAGTATAGTTTGATAATATGCATATAATAGTGATGTGGCAGAAGACATTCACTTTGGAGTGCTTTCAATGCTGAATGGGAGATTTGCCATTATGAAGGGCTTCTAATCAAGCAATTATTCATCTAGCTATGTTTGACCACCAAATTGCAAAGTTTAATAATGATTGTAATGTTTTATGGTTTGGACTTTTATTGCTAGATTTTATTATGTTTTATTGCATTCCATTCTTTTCCTAGAATTTGCTTTGGGAATTCATTCAATAAAAGTCTTTGATACTTTACTTTATAACAAAAGAATCCCCTCTCCAGTTATTCAGTTAATGATACAAAATAATATTTTTTTTACTTTCCTGTTTCTTTGCCTCATCCCTTCTTACAGACTACTTAAGTCATTTATATTACTTTGGAGTTTTGAGATATATATGCGTAAATTAATATCTAATTCTTTTCGGCATTTATCGCGGCTAGATATCCCTATTTTGCGGGGCCAACAAAGCTATTTTTGCTGTCCAAGAATGTAATTTTCTGCCTTAATATACTGTGGATATTTATTTCCCTATTCTTAATTTCTCTTTATTCTGCTGTTTTTACAAAGTACCATATCTATGTCTGATCCATGTGTTATTCTAGCTTTTCTTTTACATATTTGATTTTCATAATCTGCAATGTAAAGTGATATTAAAAAGCAGGTGCCTTTCAAAAGACTACAAAGGTGTTATGACTCTGAAAGTAACTTGGTAATAAAACGATTTTATTTTAGCTTACAGAACACAAAGAGAGCCGAAACTATTACCACATGGATTCACTTTGCCACTGCCCATTATATGAAGAAGCTTTGCGCATGGCAGAAGAAGGAAAGATTTATTCACGTGTCTTAAGGTAAATGTCTTTACATTTCTAAAAATCTTTATGGCAGAATTTCTAAAACGTTGTCAGAACTTACATTGTTTGTTTTCAAATATGTCTAAATCAAAGGGCCAGTCAGTGATTATCTTTGAAATATTCTTTATTTTGTGAATAGGACTGAAATGTTGGAATGTTTGGGAGACAGTGACTTCCTTGCTAAGCTCCACTGTATACGGCAAGCTTTTCAGGTAGAACTCCATGAGACACATTTTAACTCACCTTTGTGCTACTTTTGGCGTATCTATATTAAATTATTACATAGAGGAGATTTATAATCAGGACCAAACAAGTTACATAATCAGTGTTATGTAGCTTTTACAAGGTACAGGTAGTCCTTGTTTTATAATTGGCTGCTTAGCAACTATTTAAAGTTTACAAAGTTTATCCAAAGTTTATTCAACGTGTGCCCCCCTTCCCATGCATGCACGCGCATCTCCTGCATGCGCCCCACCCCCTGCGCATGCTTGGCAGAGAGCCGAAAACCAGCTGGCCGTTGGGAAGCTTGCGCGGCGGAACTGAGCTGGGGTGACAGTTCGCAAGCCCACAAAGAGGGTTCTGCATGCCATCTGTGGCAGGCGTGCCATAGGTTCACCATCACGGGCTTAGGGCATTGTGTGAACACAGCTAGAGATTCCATTCCCCTTCTTGATAAAGCAACTTTACTCAAGAAGAAGATATTTAGTGAAATTTATCTTTGAGTAATAGGGCCCAAAACGTAGATGGATTTGTGCATTTGGTTTCAATTTTGAGTTCTAACGTTTCACTCATTAATGGTTTCTTTTTTTAAAAAACAGGTCATTCTTTCAGACTCTGCAAATCGAATATTTCTTGCTGAAAGTGGCAGAAGAATTTTATGTGCTTTAATTTTGAGAGCAAGAAAGGTAAACCTTTTTTGTTTTAATAAGTGTATTGTAACAGGCTTGACCATTTAATGCCCTTATTACATGAGTTAAGAAACAACTATTCCTATTTTGGAGAAGTAGTATTCTCATTTTAAAATTATAAATTTGGTCTACATATGGCAGTGATTGTTCATAAGAGTTTATAGCTATATGTTTTATATTTCCCAAATGTATTGTTTTACGTGTCATTTTATAAAACATGTATGCAAACTCAGATATCACAATATAGTATGCCTTAATATAGTATGCCTTATACATGGTGGCTCAGTGGCTAAGACACTGAGTTCTTAGGTCAGCAGTTCGGCGGTTCGAATCCCTAGTGCCGTGTAACGGAGTGAGCTTCCCTTACTTGTCCCATCTTTTGCCAACCTGGCAGTTCGAAAGCATGTAAAAATGAAAGTAGAAAAATAGGGACCACTTTGGTGGGAAGATAACTGCGTTCTGTGCTCCTTCGGTGTTTAGTCATGCTGGCCACAATGACCACGGGCACGTCTTTGGACAGCACTGGCTCTTCAGCTTTGAAACTGAGATGAGCACTGCCCCCTAGAGTCAGGAACGACTAGGATAGGATAGGATAGAATTCTTTATTGGCCAAGTGTGATTGGACACATAAAGAATTTGTTTTTGGTGCATATGTTCTCCGTGTACATAAAAAGACAAGACACATTCATCAAGAATCATAAGGTACAGCACTTAATGATAGTCATAGGGTGCAAATAAGCAATCAGGAAACAATCAATATAAACCGTAAGGATACAAGCAACAAAGTTACATACCATTATAAATGGGAGGAGATGGGTGATAGGAACAATGAGAAGACTAATAGGAATAGTAATGCAGCCTTAGTGAATAGTTTGACAGTGGTGAGGAATTATTTGTTTAACAGAATGAGGGCGTTCGGGAAAAAACTGTTCTTGTGTTTAGTTCTCTTGGTGTGCAGTGCTCTATAGCATTGTTTTGAGGGTAGGAGTTGAAACAATTTATGTCCAGGATGCAAGAGGTTTAGCACATATGTGCGAGGGGAACTTTTACCTTTACTTTATAGTGGAGATACTTTTTTATTTCTAGATTACCCTTTGATTTACAAATAAACAGTGATGTCAATTTTAAGGCAAGGATGACAGAATCCATATAATGTGCAAGTTATTTCTTCAGTTTTCTGTTTTTCTTTACAGAACCCAAAGAAATTTGAGGAAGTATTTGATGAAATGATCTCTTTTTTAGAACAAGCGGATCAATGGATTCATACTAAAATGGAGTTGGCTGCTTATGGGGTATGCTTTCAATTAAGGTTTTTAGCTTTTTTTTCTTTTTTGGCCCTAGATAGCTATAATTTCCTTACTGAAATTTATTTTGTTTATATTTCAAGAACTGTGTTATTTTTATCTAGTTTATTTATTATTTTACATTTACCAAGTTTGAATAAACAATTTGTTTAAAATATCGCTAGGATTTTTATTGTAATTTATAGCATGAGTTGCTAATGATTTTTCTTTTCTATACATGTGCTCAGTACCTTTTTAAAAATTTGATCCTCATGTAGGTGAAACATTTAAACTTTTATGATGTTGTTTTGGACTTCATATTAATGGATTCTTTTGAAGACTTAGAGAACCCACCCATGTCTATACAGAATATAGTTAATAACCACTGGTTGAACTCCTCCTTCAAAGAAACTGTAAGTCCATATTTGTTTCATTCCATGCTTCAATAGTAGCATTAACTGGCAGGAGATACCAACTACAGATATTGACATCAGGCTGGGGCACAGTTTGTGGAGAGAAGTATTTTTCAACTTTTAAAAGTATGGATAAGAGGCAGTCTCTGTAGAGTATAAAGCACTTTAAGCAGAGTGAATAGGATGATGGTACTCCGGTGAGAAAGAAAGTGAGATATGATTCTCTTGGATCCACCGAGAAAAAGGGTTGTGGTGTATTGGTTCCAAGTAAGATGAGTCATACTTTAAATGAAAGCTTATTATAGAACTTTCCTTTTTTTATGTAATGTTTTCAAAATTGCTATGGTTATGTTTTCTTAGTTGATTTAAGGCTCTGATTTTTTTTCATAATTTTTAGACCATATTTTATAGTAACATCCAAGTATGAAGGAGTATAAAATTCAATAATTTGATGTGCTACATGTGAATAAATGCCATTAAACATCTTACATAATGGTCTAAATAACTGTTTCTCTTCTACTTTTTGTTATGCTCCAGGTCAGTTAATATGTCCCTTGTTCGTGATTTACGTGTGTTAGGATATATGTAAAACCAACACCAGAACTGTGTATAATCAGCCTTTCCCTATATTCTAGTCAACATCAGATCAGGTTAAAGGGTTGGGTTAGGGATAGAGTTAGGCAGGTTAAGCACCCACCCAAACACCTGTGGCTGATGGAGAGGATCTTAAATTTGATGCTGGTAGCAATATTTTCATTAGGTATAGATCAGTGATGGATGCTATGTAGTGGTATTTGAGAATGGCGTTGGGAGAAAGAGCAAAGAAACACAGCCAAGAGAATAGTCAGTTAAAAGACAACTGAGCCTGCAGCAGGAATGTGGACAGGGCATTTCAATAAAGAAGAATATAGCAATAGCAATAGCAGTAGACTTATATACCGCTTCATAGGCCTTTCAGGCCTCTCTAAGCGGTTTACA